TATGCTAGCAATATACTTTGAATAATATCAATATAATAATGTAGTATGATGTATATATAAGTTTTATTTATATATATATATTGATGGAATATTTACATTGTAAATTATCACAAATATAATATACTTGAAATATGTTAAATGTATATTTTTAGTTAAAATAAAATTGTACAGAAAAAAATTTAAAATAANATTAAAACTCAAAAAGGAAAGAAATACGAAAATTCTCATTGTGTAGAGAGAATTATTTTTGAGATATTCTAATTTCAGAATCTTTGATATATTTGGGTAAGTGTTATTTATGGAAGAGAAAAAAGAAGTTATAGAAGAGTGAGGGAAAAAGAAACGTAGTAAAAAGTGAATTAATGCAGAGGGATCCTTTAGTTAATGAAGTTGTCAAAGTGAAAGTGCTAAAAAGGCAAAAAAAAAAAAAATAGTGTTGTTTTTGGAATAAACAAAGTCTACTATCATTTATGATAATAATTTTTAAAAAGGGACCAAGTATGTAAAAATCTCAAAAAAATTATTAAATATCTAATGGTAAACCCAGTTATTATATTAATTTGAAATTGGAACAGAAATCCATAAACTTCAAATTCTGGATCCGCAACTCGTCCTACCCCGCATAAGTGGCGCGGAGACTCAAACTTGCGAGGACCACCCAATACTCACTATTAGTTAGTCACTACCTCTAGTTTTGATTCTTTTTGCTAATTTGCTGGTCCCATAAAAGCAAATAAAAATCACATGGCACATGCATGGTTAGTAGTTTTGATGTCATGAAGGCATGTCAGCAGTGATATTTATATTGTCTCAATTTAATAGTTACGCTAGCTGCATTATATATTCTGTTATTTTCGAGCTATATCGGCCTAATACATATATACATATCCTTCTTAAACTATTTTTAGTATTAAGATCGATATGAAAAACTATCTGGTTAGTTTTAAATTAAAAATAAAATACAATAGTACTGTACATTAAAACTAAAATATAATAGTGATACATCATTCATAATTTTGACTACGTACTAAAGTGAAGTTAAGACGGTTAATTTTAGATAGAGGAATGTTTGACTTTGCAAATTTATTAAAAATATTCTAAAACATTATTACTGTAACACATTGCATATATGGCTATTTTTTTGTTTCTTAAAATGGAATAAAGAAGTTGTAAAAACGAAAATGTGTTCCTAAAACATTATTATTGTAAAATATAACAAACTTAAAAATTTGATACTTTTAAGGAGATTATAACTTAGGTGGCAAACAGCAATGCAAAGATGTGACAATATATCCAGATTGAAACAAAGAGAAAACTATTTCCATTTCTTCAAAATTTCTCTTTTAACTTTTTCTGTATTGTCTCATTGTTTCCTAATAGCCGCCTGCACTCTATTTTCCTGTGATTGGATGGAACATTTTCATTTATAAGACAACTTTAATAATTGATTTACAAATAAATTAAAGCATCTTGCCTTTAACTGTTCCTTTGGTCATTTGTGGCTGCTAAGAACTAAGCAGTGAAATAGAATTTTCGGGGTCGTTTGGTAGGATTTTTCTAACTTATGTATGACTAATACTATTAGGGATCGTTTAGTTTGAATACGGCTTATGCCGGGCTAAGTTATGTTGGGATAAGTTATGCTGGGATTAGTTATTCTGGTATTAATTTTTTATCCACTATTCGGTATGTTTTATTAAAAATTAATGACAATTGCATAATTTCTAATAAGAAGGTATAAGTTATCTCAGCACTAATTACCCCAACCAAACAAAGTATTAAGGTGGTATTAAATTTTTATACCACCACTATACCTTCTTATACCTCATATCAAACGACCCCTTAGTCATACACCTTATTTAGTACTATTCTTATATATATATAGCACATCATGACATTAGTAATATCATGATTTTTGACACATAGATAAGCATGTATAAAGACGTATCTGTCCTTTCAAAACTTTTAATACACCAAATCAAACTGTCGAGTAAGAAATAATCCCGACATAATTAATATTAATCTCGACATTACTAATATATCATATTCAGTACTATTCTTATACACCCTACCAAACGACCCCTAAAAAAACTTAAAAAATAAAGAAAGTCAACATGCAAAAGATCAAGTGATTCAATATTAATAAATATAAATATATTAAAAAGTTGATCTTACATATAAAGTGGCCCTAGCTCCATTTCTTGTCCTATTTTATAATTCAATTATTACATGAGTGATTAGAATCTTGCTGATAAAAACTCTAATAATTTTCAAATAATCTCATCGATAAATGATGTAGGCTACTGTTCTGAAACCTAGTTAGTGGGATTATGCTCTTGTTGTATATTGCCATATAGATAATCCATTAATAATTTCAGCCTGCTGTTATCTTTGTTAATATTTTCATTTTGTCCTTCTTCTAATAAGACCAATCTAGAACATGGACAACTTTTAAAATAAAGTGGTGCTCATCAACGTGGTCCTCTACATATAATGACCCGACCCGACCCGACCCGACCAAGTGGTGAATATAGAACAAGCACATAATCCCAAGTCAAAAAGACTGTTAAAAATATGTCCTACAACTTTGGATGTTGAAGAAAGAATATAATTATTAGGAAGAAGAGTACGTTATAGTAAGGACAGTTGTGTAAACATCACCCAATCACTATTGATCAACTAAAGTAAGCCATATTCAAATGAGGAAATGATGTTAAAGGGAAGGAGAATAAGAGATCACCAAACACATAGGCGGAGTTAAAGTTTGAAATTTATGGGTTTTGAACTTGCCACGAAATTTATAGTACCGAACCTTACTTACGTGTTATTGTTATTGTTTTTCATTTATTTTCTGGTACTTATGATGTTATTATTTCTGTGGTTTCTGTTGATGGTACTCGGAAACAGCCTCTCTACCCCCTTGGGTAGGGGTACACTCTACCTTTCCCAGAACCCACTTGTAGGATTTTACTGGGTTGTTGTTGTTGTTGTAAACTTGTCACATGACCTATAGCTCGTCTAAGTTACCGGATCCTTAATTAAATATTTATACATATTTAATATATTTCCTGCTACAAAAAGAAAAAGTGATCTAAGCAAAAATTATTGCGTTTAGCCAAAACCTATCTAATGCTCTAGCTCCGCCTCTGACCAAACATGACTGAAATATCGGAATATTCAACTTGAGAAGTTTAGAGCTCGCATCATGAGTTAGTTGATTAAAAGTAAATGATAAGCATCAATAAAGTGTAAAAAAATATTTGTAAGTACTGGATCAAATCTTATAAATAAGAAGTTACGTATTTAGATATTTTGAACCCCATAAAAGAAAGATAGATTTTTAAGAGTGAATCACTAGCTTGGCTGCATATATGTTGGGTAGTTGGTGAGATCTGATATCATGGATTTAGTATTTCTATGGTGAGATGAAGTGAGAAAGGCAGTGGGAACTCTGACATGTTGTATTGATAAACCTATTGTAGGTCTCATTCGTGAGAGAGAAAGAGAAAGAAGTCTCGATCTTCTTCATATATAGTGTTGAATTCTTGTCATGTAGGATAGCTCTATAAATAATTAGTTTCACATTTCACACTGTATTCTGAAAATGCTCACATTTCATTAAGATGACAAAATATCAATATGAGAAAAAGTTTCAACATCTCAATTTACAAAGCGAAAACATAAATTACAAATATAATAAATTTAGCACCTAAATTGTACTTAAAACTGATTTCCAAAGTTGCCATTGGCTGAGAGTTGGTCAAATTAAAGAGAAGGCTTTTCAATTCTTGCCCCTGAGCAATTACTACAATCCTTTTCTCAATCAAACATATAAAATGTTTCCTCAGAAATGGTAGAGGAAACAGGGGATAGGATAGTATAAGAAAACTGGAGAATTAGAATTGCTAGTTAAGAACTACATTGATTATATTTCTGCAGAAATATAGGCAGCAAGTGAAATAATCATAATCTATAATCCTACATTTGGGTCCGCCATTAGTGAATACCAAGTGAACAACAAGTAAACAGCAAATTGCTGCATTACAGAAGTGACAAGACAAACAATTTGGATATATATGTCCCAGCTGAGTATATTCTTCCTTCCTTGGCACAAAAACTCATCAAAAGATGATGAGGAGTGAAACAGGATAATTGGAGCAGACTAATCAGTCAGCTCCGAAAGCGGTCAAGTAGCTGAAACAAAGGTGGCAAGATGTTAGAACCTAGCACGATACGCTCGGATTCAAAAACTGAAACATATCTGTAAGATAAATGCCAATGTCAACCATCTAACCTTTTTTCCCCAAGGCACACCATAATGGCCAATTATTAGCTCTTATTGCAGATCAAAGATTAATTACTATATTAGAACATATAAATTCTCCTGATTTAGTGAAGAATAAAGTATGGATTTTGGTGGAAGGTTTGTGGCACTACATGACATCAGACTGATAGAATTAATATGTTTCTATTCCCCAAAAAGAGTAGACAATGAGATAAATTTGATTGTAACCAAAATGTGGCGCCCTGTTATAAGCAACAGTGGCACACTGGGCATGTTTACTCCCGCCATTCAACATTTGGCCCTTCACATAACAATTATCAAATGCGAATTTAAACAATATGAGGACACCAGGAACCTTGAGCACAAATAAACACTATAGGAGTGTGATTTGCACAACCAATGCATTGAGGACCAAATTGCAACTCCAGATAACCATCATAGACCAGAAAATAACTTCCATTTTAACGACCTCAAAAAAAACAAACAATGAGTAGTGCATAAAAGAAAGAAATGCGACCATAGCTAAAATTGAATTCAGGCATGCAACAGTACAATATATAACACAACCAATCGAAGGACAATGTCCGCTTTCCTCGTTTTTTAGGAAGAAAAGGAACATCATCAACCCCATGTATCAGTATAATATATGCCTTTTTAAAGGAAAAATGACTTGAAGGAGCTGCCCCAAAGAAGCCATATTCTCTTTCAAAATTTAGCCACCAGAATTTGAGACAGAAATAAGTATTAACTCACCAGAGCAGGATACTGCAGAATCCATCCAAATACAGGAATCTGGAAAAGAAAAACCTTGATGGATGGCCAGAAACCGCTGCAGGGAAAAGATCAAAGTCTAAATCTCTTATGCTACCCAAGGAAAGACGAAAATGAAGAGAAAAATGAGAAACCTTGTCCGGAAAATATTCAGGAAAAGGTGCTCACCCAAAGAGAACAATGCATCCATATATTTCCACAATGATACCCACAACCGGCCAGCGAACGAATATAAGGAAGAGCCCGAGCATAAATGATATTGTGCCCTGGAACAAAAGTCTTGTTTAGTTTCAGTCAAAGAAAGAAACTGAATAAATGACACCATCATTTATGTTTTTGAGCGAGATAATTAAGCACCCCATGTCAGTGCTCCTCCCCCAGGCTCTCTCCCTCACAATATGAAGACTATTACTGTATTCATTTTGCTTCGTATTAAAGCAGTAAGAGTTGAGAACATAAAGCATTTGGATTCAGCAGCGAAATGACAGAAGACAGAGAAAACAGCAATGCATGAACGTAAAGGTTGAGAAAGCATGAACTAGAGAACCAATAGCCCTTGAAAGATAGGTAACAAGGTCTGGGATTAGAGCAGAAAGTGCTAACCTATTAACTTCCGAAACATTAGCGTGAGTATC